ACAGAAATCTCAAGGTCCAAATTAGGAGCAGAAGGAGAGAGAGCACAAGCAAGGAACTCAGGACCAAGAGGGGTGCACCCACACACTGAGACAATGGGGATGTTCTATCGGGAACTCACCAAGGCCAGCTGGCCTGGGTCTGAAAAAGCCTGGGATAGAACCGGACTTGCTGAACACAGCGGACAACGAGGACTACTGAGAACTCAAGAACAATGGCAATGGGTTTTTGATCCTACTGCACGTACTGGCTTTGTAGGAGCCTAGGCAGTTTGGATGCTCAACTTACTAGACCTGGATGGAGGTGGGTGGTCCTTGGACTTCCCACAGGGCAGGGAACCCTGATTGCTCTTTGGGCTGATGAGGGAGGGGGACTTGATGGGGGAGGGGGAGGGAAATGGGAGGCGGTGGCGGGGAAGAGACAGAAATCTTAAATAAATAAATAAATAAATAAATAAATAAGAATAGTAACCATAGTTACCATTCTGTAACTATTGTCTTTCGGGTCTTCCACCTCCATCCTAAGCCCTGGCAGCTGCAATGTACTAATTCAACTTACGTTAGCCCTCACACATAAATGAAATTTTTTGGTAGTGAAACTTCTGTCCTTTGTTTGTCTTATTCAAAACACTATGCTCTGGGCTCATCCATGTTATCTCAAGCTTTGAGATTTCCTCTCTATTTTAAGGCTGAGGCTGTTCCTTTCTGCTCGTGTGCATCGTTTCTTTAATCCCCCCCGGACACAAGTTTATTCCATATTTTATCTACTCCAGAGTACACTTCTCATCAGCATGGCGATTGCATGCTTCTGGTAAACACCCGGAAATGAGATGTCTGGATTCTGCAATAACCCTATTTTCAAGTTTTTGAGAGACTGCTATACTGTTTACCACAGTGCTGCACTAACTTACATTCTCACCAGTATACAATGGGTTCCATTTTTTCCAAATCTTAAATATGCGAAATATACATGAAGTTCAAAAGGGAGGCCCAATGCATGTGCAAGAAGCTAAAGGAACTGTTATAAATGTTAGTCTCTAAACTTCAAGATGTATTTGCTTTTACTTTAAATACTATTCTGATAGACTTGCTTAGCTTCAGTACAATGTTTTGCCAGCAATTTGAATAAGCAGGAATTCATGAAGTGCATTTTGAATGATACCTTTCCAGGACACTTAAGAACACCACAACATAGTTCCATAGAAATCCTAAGTTCCCAGAAATAATGGACAGCTGATTGTATATGGATTTACCTAAATAAACATATGCCTTTTTATTTCTCTGTGTCAAATAACATAACATTTGTGAGTGTCACTTGATAATGGGTAATCCTTCCTATTTTATAACCCTGTTTGACACTGACATACCCCAGGGCATTTATGACTGTCCTGACTGCTTAAGAGCACGTGTTTTATAAGCAAACCTAAAATCCCCATGGTTAAGTCATGAATAGCAATGAAATTTTCAAGCCTCTTGAACCAAGCCCAGCCATCCTGCGACGGACACTGGAAAGAGCTCAGTCATCAATGGCATGCATGCCCAGCCATCATCTTTTCCTGCTTCCTCACAAACAGCCTTCATTTAGACAGCAGATCCTTGTTCCTGCCCAGCCTGCTTCTTCACACATTGTTCCTGCTCTTACACTTTCACACTCATTAAGCCGATAACAACATTGTTAGCATGGGACGCGACATCCACACCTCTGACACAGCACTGAACAGCTTGGTGATCTCATCATCTAATCTCAGGTGCTCTGTGAGAGCCCGGATGCTGCCTGCTGGCTATAGCAACAGCCTTCTGCTCTGCAATTCTGTCACTTAGAGCAGGTACAGAGGAATAGTAGCAGCTGGGGGGGGGGGGGGGGGACCAGGACGTGAGAGATACATATCTAGTCAGAGGAAACAGAGACATGCCAATGGGTGTATCTATCTGGAAACTACACTGGGGCTAAGGATAGAAGCAGAAGGTGCCTCTTTTTTCACTGATTCAGGCTTGCAGCCACCTGAAGTCAAGTGTATAAAGAAGATCCCACAGTGCTATGTGAGCAGCCTTTAACTCATGCTTGATAATGAAACCCGGAAGACAGGAAAGCCCTCTAGGAAACAGATGCTGACTTCACATGACTTTAACTATTCCTAGTTCTTGAGTTTCTGAGTTCCTTCAGGTCACCTGACTCTTGGCTTTGGAAAATGATCAGAAGTGCGAGCTGAATTCTATATATCCTAATGACAGCCTATCACTTCTAACTTTATTCAGTTACTGTCTCTTTTTTATCACTGACATAGCCTTCAAAACTTACTGAATTTTCTGTTAGTGGTGTCTCCTCACCATACCCCTTTCTTTGATTCAATTCGGCATCTGTACATTTTTAATTATATGCATCTCTGTAGGTAAGATAGCACACAAGGAAAAAACAGGCAGAACTTGAGCCTCTGATGTCATGTTGTTTCTTCTTTGGTCTTAGTTTTCTTGGTTTGTATCCTTCTTAGATTTGTTTCTCTTTTTCTTGAAATCATTAGGTATTTTGTCAATTCTCAAGAATGAGTAACTAGCCAAACAGCAATCTTTATAAACTAAAATGTATCCCAATTAAAAACTAAATTGTTTTATTTTTGCTAAATTGTTTAGATTAAAAAGGGGGAATGTAAAGTGTTCTGCCTTTTTTGAGACTGGACAACACATGAGCTGATTTGTATTGATTGTATTTGCCAATGTAGCTATAATCACACTTAAAAGCAAATTTCTACAATTTGCCTTTTGGTTAAAATGTCACCAATGCATTACATACTTTGCAAATAGTCTTTGTAAATCAATTTGCACTTATTAGATTTATTTAAACGATAGCATTAGAATTCCATGCCGAGATTTAATTTGGTTTAAAATAACTCTCTACATGCAGAGCATTTCCAAGGGTGGAGAGGCGATTTCCCAATTGTTTTCATGTCACCAATGCTAAATGTATTTAAATGACTGACTCACCTACAAGCTGTGGGTTGTGTGAAGGCTGGTGTGGTTAGCAGAGCATAGGTTTTACCTGAGGTTAATAAGCCGTAAATGAGGGAAAGCAAAGAATTAAAGCCAAATGAAAACCAAAGGGTCATGGTGAAGGCATTATAAACTTGAACTTGTTGATTGGCCTTTGTTTCAGACCTTACAGACCCAAAATTCATTGATTTCATGCAGTATTCACAGGCTAGGCAGGTATTGCATCTTAAATGTTCTGGGCCATTCACAGGTCTCTTTGCAGGAGTTGATGTCTGATCATGAGCCACGAATTTGTTGACCCCCAATATGATTCTTAGAACACAGCCTTTTGCTCAGGTTGGTTTCTACATAAATTATCTCTCAATTTAGTCCGTCACTCTTCACTACAAAGTAAGGTAACACAATCTGTTGTTTTGGATAAGAACAGCTCCTGCAGATTCATGTATTTGGAGGTGTGGTCCCAAGTTAGTAGAACTATTTGAGAAGGATTAGGAGGTGTGGTCCTGAGGGAGGATGGATACTAACTGGAAGTAGGCTTTTGAAATTTCAAAAGACTTTCACCATTCCCAGTGTGTGATGGACTAAGATGTAAGGTCTCAAACTGTTCCTGCCACCATGATTTTGCTCTACCAGCATGGACTCTAATCCTCTGAAACTATAATCCTAACTAAACTTTCTTTTGTAAGTTACTTTGGTCATGGTGCTTTGTCAAAGCAATAGAAAAGCAAGGAAGACTCTTGTGTTCTCAGAAAGTGACTCTAAACCTCTTACAGCTACAGGCTAAATAAGATGCAGAAGCTAGTGAGATACTATACAGTTTTAAGAAAAAAAATCTCTTCCCACTAACGGAAGATACTGTGCTTACAGCTGTGTAGAGGTAGTTTGCTTGTGAAAGTCAGAGGGAATATTTTATTGAGCGTATTTTATATAGTGTCATTGGCTATACCATATTTCTACAGTTTTGAGTGACACAAATGGACCTAGTAGAGAAAACTTGTACTGAGTAGAGGAAGATACTGTCATTTCTGTTTTACAGATGGGGAAACTGAGATGAGAATCTAAGTAATGTTTCAGTGAAGTTAGCAGTGGTAGGATAAACTCTTTCTGGTTGCTCCTGTACACACATGAGGTTTAAACTTTTCTACCACTTACTAACTCCACAGAAGCATCATTGCCCTGACAAAATATTTGACAAAACTAGCATAAGGAATAAAGGGTCTGCTTTGGCTCATGGTTTGGAGGGGGCACAGTTCAACGTGCTAGAGAACAACCAGGCAGCAGAGGCCTATGAGTGTTCTTGTTCAGCTGGCTGCATCTGTTCTGGTTCAGTCAACTTGGGATCCTACTCTAGGGTGGTGCCACCAACATTCAAGGCAGGTCTTTCTTCAGTTAAACCTCTCTAATAGATAGTATCTACTTTGGCAAACTCAGAGGTGTCTTTGCTAGGTGGTTTCAAATATAGTCAAGATGACAATGAAGATTAAACATCAAAAGTTCCCTTAACCAAAAAAAATTACTTTCTGATATTTGACAACTAAACAGACTCACCAGTGATTGATAAAACACATCAATGTAGAATCTTAGTAGGAAAACTGGCAGGAGCAGGCCTCTTGAGAAGACTAAACAACAGCTTACGACACAAATCAGATGACAGCTTCTCACTATGGGCCCCTCACATGTTCCAAATGCTGTAGGAGGCACACCACATAAATGAAGACACAATTCCACAAACGAGTGTTTAACACTTTCTTGTGCTTTCCAAAGTCGCAGACATTTCTAATCAAACAAAGTAACTGTGAGTAAAGTGTAAAACCCTTCTGTACATACATACACATGTAAAAATCCAATCCTTATACAGTACAATATGTGCATATCATGCTTACAAGGACTATCCTTTTACTCTACCTAAATAATGAAATTAGCATAAAAGCATATCAAAATCCAATTAAAGCAAGATTTAAACTTAGGGGACAGTTTCTTTTTCTCTAGAGCTCAGAGGAAAGCAGACAGCTCTAGAAAAGACTGCTGATACAATGAGAAGAGTTAGGAAACCGCACAAGGGAAACCATGAGTGGCAAATCAGTCCCTGTCTCAAAACACACAAACCTTTGAAGAGCTGGACTAAATTTTACAATAGCAATAAGAAGGGAATGTTCTCTAAAAGGCTTCTCCGACTTCCTTATCAGCAGTTTTAAAAAGAAACAACTTTCCTGACTTTTGAGGCATCCTTTCACGGTTCTGTATCTTTTGCTTGCCCTGACTCTAGAGCTTTTTCATTTAAGGTGGTCAGATGATCTTCTTTAAGCAAAGCTTCTAAGTAAGCATCAATCTGCTCGACGCCTCCCGCTGGACCACCCTGAAAGAAAGAAGCCACAGTCACTCCAGTGGGAGAAGCTCAGCTGTTATCCCTGACATCCTGGCAGCCTCCCACAGACATCTTGGTGAGTCATGTGGTTACAGCCCCACATCACATCTGATTGATGCTCTTAACCTTTGCAAATGTTTTCTCATTTAATCTCATTTTATGCCCACAAGTGGATAAGGATTTGAATAATGTTTTCTTCTTCAGTGGAAGTCAGGATTTTCCACTTTCAAGAACTGGCTGAAGTGTTGTTGTTGACAGAGGCACAAATACAATTACTATAATGTGAAACTATTTAGCATTCATTATCTTTTTGCTCTCTGATGATGTAGCTTTTTAATCATTTACCAGATCATCAAAATTAAGAGGGGTTCCTCTTCTGGCAGTATACTAAAAATTAAAAGGAAGTATTTTCTGTCTCATTTTGTACTTGATATAGAAGGAATTCCTATAAAAGCTAAAGATGAATATATCATAGAAAACAAACTCCCACTTCAGAATGTTTACAACCTTGACAGAAACCCATGCAGTCTGGATTCAAGTCCATGTTCACCCTAGTATGTAGTGATATATGGTGAATTTCCCTACCACCTTTATGGACAAAGCAATTCCCAGTCCTCCAGGTTCTCTATAGGGTCTCAGTTCTGCCTCTTCACACCGCACTGGTCAGGACGACCTATCTCACAACTGATATCTAAGGCCAAATTGCCATACACCACTTGAACTCATTGTTGGCTTAGATTTCTCCATTTATTTCCAGAATCCAGAGAAAGCCTTACAACCTTCTCTACCATATTTAAATTTTTGATATAGCCAAGATTTCTATGTGCTACATAGAAGCTGGACCACTTACAGGCCTGGAGGGATGTGGGAAAGGGGCATGATATACTTGAAAGACAATGCTTTTATAAAACGAGTCACTATATACAGTGAACATATGCCAATAAGAGGAGCTGGACCAATCCTCATTACTTCAATTCATCATGGAAGCATACAAACAAAACTGTCAATAATTCACATTTATGGTGTCTCTTCATTTTTGTTTTGTTTTAACTTCTCCCTCTGGAATTAAGAGGATTGATTTTTATTTATATATGAAGATAAAACTGCATTGAAATATCTCATTTTCTAAAAAGTTGGAAATTTTTGCCTACTGGACACATGGCATTGAGAAGCTGATTGGTAGAACTCTAGAATTACCTAGGAAGCAGGTCTTTGGGCATGCCCGTGGAGGATTGCCTTGACTGTTAAATGAGGTGGGCAGACTCTCTCACTGTGAGTCTGGGAGAGTAAGTGGATAATGGGACCTAAGCAACAACATGCATTTATTGCTTTCTGCTCTTGACTGTGGACTCAATGTGACCCAGCTTCAAGCTCCTGTGCCTTGACTTCCATGATGCACTCCATCCTTGCAGTGCAAACCAAACACACTCCTCTCTTCACAGCTCATTTCATCCAAGTATTTTATCACAGCAAAGGAAAAAAGACACGAAGACAACCAGCAACTAATAGCTCAAGCAGATTCTAGAAGTAGAGAAATATTTAAATGGTCTAATCTACGTTTTAAAAGCTAATTGACCTCTGATTGAATATGGTTATCCAGACCAGATTGCTGTTCAGTGTAGCAGCAGCAGCCCTACCCATCACAGATATAGACAGACACTCTACTGAAAGTATTGTCAGTAACTAACTAACTAACTAACAGACTTTCGGGATCCTAGATTTCTAGCCTGGAGAAGTGGGTCTTTATGAAAGGGCATAGATTAGTGGTCTAGCTCGGTGATGTGGGCCTGACTCCTCTCTTCGGAGAACTCAGCATACTGCCTCTCTGTCATAGTGTTAGTGTCTGAACTCCCCTCAGAGCCTCACCATTGTGTTGTCTGCTGCCTACCTGTCTGTCCCCCAACAATCTATCACAGCAATGCTCCTGGGCTCTTGAGCCCTGATCTGAATCCTCCCAGACTTTAGTAGCATAATTAGCAGCAGGGACTTCGTTAAGCTGTTTACCTAAGGGGAGTGAGCTAAGCGCACTGGAGAGAAACCCAGACAGAAACCCCAGCCATCCCTACCCCTCACACCCCACTCACCAGCTGAAGCTTCTGCAGCAGCAATGCCAGCTTTGCACGAAGGTCATTGAGTTTACCCTCGGTCCTTTTCCTTTTCAGCTCACACTGCTCCAGAAAAACTTCATTAAGTATCCCTCTTCTGTTTGACTCATAGATGATGGACTGCATTTTTCTCTTGAGTCTTTTCTCATATTGGACCATGTAGATATTCTGTATCTGAGAATGTTTTTTAAAGAACACTCAGTATATATTTTTGTTGTTGTTGTCGTTTTTTGAGACAGAGTTTCTCTGTGTAACAGTCCTAGTTGTCCTGGAACTTTGTAGACCAGCCTGGCCTCGAACTCACAGAGATCTGCCTGCTTCTGCCTCCCCACTGCTGCGATTAAAGGCGTTCACCACCACCGCCCAGCCTTAGTATACTTTTTAATATGTTATTATTTTTCTCAGGATATCTCAAGGCAATTTCACAGTCCAACCCTGCATACACTGACTAAGAATCAACTCTGATACTTGAACTTACTCTCACGAAGAGGGGGGAAAACATAATAATGTGGACATAATTATAGGAAGAGGAGAGAGACACAGGGCAGTAAGTTTAATGACCCTGGCTTTGAAATCAAGAAGAAACCCTGTGGAGGCTGAGTTTGTTCTCTCATCAGTGGAATAAAGACATCTCAGCCACCAGCACCTCGTAGGCACTGACAGATGGCCAGCTGCACGGAGTGCCTGGGTGATGATGTGGTATTCTAACTCAAGTCTGTCATGTCCAGAGGACAGGGGCTGCGGAACAAGGAATTTCGCTCTCACAAAAAAAACAAAAACAAAACAAAACAAAACAAAAAAACCTAATGTAAAGAGTATTGAAAGGGTTTCAAATTCCCTCAAGGATTTAGGGTCTGGGCTGTTTTCCAAGATGGCATGCTGGGCCTTCAGGCCCCTCTTCCACTTCAGAACAGTATGACTTGTATCAACATTTCAAGAGGACCAGGGGAAATTCTGAGAAAACAGACAAGGGCCAAACCCATTTGGATGACCATTTACGTTTCTATGTTAAGATTTCTGTGTTCTAGCACTGGCTGGGTGACAAGGAACTGCACTGGGGTCTCCTTCATGGTCTACGCCTCACCTCTTGCCCTTCACTCTCACTCACAACCGTTCCTGTGAGCAGAGCCCCCCCACCCCATCTCTGACACCTGCTAACCACGCTGATCTCATGACTTTCTCCTCTATAACACCAAATGTTCAAAACCTTACCTGCCCAGAGCTCTGTCTGGTAAACACTTCCTAATAACTTCCTAAGCAAAGGCATTGAAGTCAATTATGAGGATGCAAAGATGTGGAAGGCAGACTTTGCCATCCAGCAGGTTTCAGTTGGCAGCACGAGGTAGTGCAATCGTGCAAGAATTCTACTGTGAGGACCAGCTCTGTGCCACCAACTGGGAGAGGTGTCGCAGTGGGGAGGGGGTGTGATCCTATTAAATTAAAAACTTTATGCTTTGCCAGGGCAGGAAAGTGGAATTAGCCTAGGTGACAATTAACAGATGAGTCGTTAATAAAGTTATATGCTGATATACAACAGAATTTATATGGCTGGGAAGAAAACTGAAAGTATGAAATTTACAGGAAAATGGATGGGAACTAACAAGCATTGCACTGAGGTGACGTGGGCTCAGAAAGACAAACACATCATGTTTTCTCTTACCTTATGAATATCCAGGTTGGAGCAAATACTGGTAAAGACGACAAACAGGAAAGGGGTTATGGGAAAGGGGAAGAAAGGGGGGGTGGGATAAGGAAGGAGGTGGAGAAGACAGTGGAATGAAGAAGTGGAAATCCTGGGGGAAGGGATTATATGTGCAGGAAGGAGACTTCGAACAAAGCATGGGAGAATCAACCAATGGTGAGAAATCCTATGAAACTTGGTACACTGTAAGCTGCTTTAATCAACCAGTAAATTAAAACCTCGACTGATAGCGCTGTGACTCGGCTTATGTAGATAACTTTCCTCTGAATACCTGTCTTTCTCAACAAGTTGCCTGAGAAGAGTCTCTGAGAATGTTCCACACTGGCAAGCAGCGGTCATATGTGTATGCACGTAGCAGGCAGAAGAGGAAGCAGATTATAAGACTTGTTGATTGTTATGTAACTGATCTTAGATTAGTTTCTTTTTAGAAGCTTCAACTGCCTGGGAGCTTCTTTATTTTGTTGTGATTCCATGACCATTTGTGTTTCAGTCTAGTGTTTCAAAGATTTGGAGAATATATTTATTAAAAATTCAGAATTTTCTATTTCTTCTTTAGACTCAAGTCCCACCCTGCCTCATAAGCTGTAATTGTGGGAACTTTTGCCTTTTCAAATTCAAAAGGATGTTGCTCTGTGACATCTCATATGCTACACATTAATCTAAGTCTTGATAAGGACTGGAAAATTTGATTTCCCTTCAAACCTAACATTTGAAAACGTATATTATTTCCTCTCTGGAACATAGGGTCATTTAGATTTCAGGATATAAATGGCTGCATGGAAAGGAAGCTTACCTTGTTGAAACACGTTTTGAGGTTTTCGTTTGTACTCTCTGGGCATTGCTCCAGCTGTTTTCATAACAATAACAGAAAAGGACATTAGCTTTACATGGTGATCTGTCTGGAATATGGTTAGAACATTGATGTTTCTAGTATAGAAAAGCATCCGAGCTTAGAACCAGTCAACATTGGTTCTAGGGATGCTTTAAGTGTGGCCTAATTAAGTTGAGTCATTGAACGAAACCAACTTGACTTTACTATTTTCTTTAAAGAACTAAGGAAGCTTACATAAATAATAAACACAATGGTGTTTAACAATCTACAGATAAGACAAATTAATGCTAAGGGAAATGAAATGACAAAAGGCAATGTGAAGAAGGTGTGTTTTGTGTGGAAAGAGACTGGGAGTTACTTGCATATTGAACACGATGACAGTTAAGAGATTAGATGACATCACCTTGAAATGGCATTTCGCCGAGAAAGCAATGGGGACCAGGAAGAGGCCCTTAGACGTGGTAACATTCAGAATTCAAATGGAAAGTAGTTACTGTAAAGATGATGAGGGAAGAGTAGGGAGGAAAGCAAAGAGCAAGGATGTGAGAAGCTTATGGCCATGGAGGCGTCAGGGAGGAAGGAGGAAACTGGATTGAAGTTCCCTGGGAAGTCAGGTAAGAAAATAACTATTGCATTTGTCAGCCCAGAGACCACTGGTGACCCTGACAGGAAAGAACTCAATTAAGTGATACAGTGGAAGTCCACGAGAGAAGCTGAGTTGAGAGAAGAAAATAAAGAAACAATAATTCCAGAATAGAGCATTAAAGATGCCACTCAGGACCAACCGGCTACCTGACACCTCTATCCTATTAGTAGCACACGCTCTTTTCACTGAGAGCCTTTCCTTGTGTAGATGTCCATCCAACAATCAATACTGACCATGGTGATAGAGAATTGCCCTCCAGACTCCTGTCTGGGAAATCTACTCTATTCCTGGCCTGGAACATGGACTTCTCACTCACCACCGCCTGTCACAGGCAGGATACTAAGCTCACTGGATTTGGACCAAGGCCTGTGTGAGACTCACCCTCTGTATCTGAGGTAGCTGGCCCATGTTTTCTTTCCCATCTTATAAGGCACTGTCTCCAAGAGGAGCTCTGATGAATGCACTGTCTTCGTCCTTCCCGTGACGGTTAGAAAGAGTAGAACTCTGAGCACCTGATATGGCTGATCTATGAGAACCTAAACTCTGTGTCTCAATACAGGGGGTGAGATCAGAAACCATGTTTTGTGGGAGAAAGTGGGGGTAGCTGGAAGGAGAATGGACTCCATGGGCTCACGTTTGGTCCTTGGTGGAACTATTGGGAGGACTAGGGGGTGCATCCTTGTTGGTGGAGATGGGTCACTGGGGATGGACTTTAGTGCCAGGCTCAGCTGCCTTTGCCTTGTACTTGTGGATCAGGATGGAAACCGTCAGTTACCGCTCTAACATCCTACTCGCCTGCCTGCTTCCACGCTCTCCACCATGATGGTCATGAACGGTAACCCCCAATAAACTCTTTCTTCTATGAGCTGTCTGGTCATGATGTCTTATCACAGAAATAGAAAAGTAACTAAGACAAGACGGAAGTTTTTCCAAGCAGCTGTCTCAGTCTGTGAGATTGTCTCTGCCTTACTCTGCCTGTAATCACAATGCCTTATCACATACTTGGTATGGGACCTCTGTCTCCATCCACCGAAAGCCTTCCTAAGCCTCGTCAGTGTAATACTCTGGGCTTTTCTTCATTGAAGATTGAATTCACTCATTTCTGAGACTTACCTTGGGATTTGTTATGAGTTCTTCCACAGATGTGCACTCGAATTCTGATGATAGCTGAAACTCAGGAACAAAATACAGAAGAATCTCCCTAGGAAGACAATCATAACAGAAACAGAAGTACACCCAGAGCAGAGAGTGCCTGCCCATCAGAACACAGTTTGTCTCTTAGGTGTTTAACTTCCTGGCAAAGGCAGATGTTGGTTCCTATCAAATATTTTGTTTTCATCATTGACATCAAAGTGTTCTTCAGAAAACAGACTGGGGTTAGGGACTTGGGTGTGGTTTTGCAACAGCAAAGAGCTTCCCAGTACTGGCCATGGTCTGAGTCTTGGCTGTATCTATATTAACCTTGACTGTGGTTCTGCTCTGCAGTTTTTTAAGATACTCTCATTAGAATAATCAAGTAAAGGAAACACTTTTATTTTTATACTACTTTTTTAAACCATACATTTTATTTTATAATTTATTTAAAAATTAGAAGTTTGTTAAAAGAATAAAGGAGAAAAAGAGAATAGGAAGGGAGGAGAAACAACAGAAAAGAAGGAAAAAAAGAAAAAAGAAGGGGCTGGGTAGAGGGCTTAGTGGGTAAAAAGAGAAGTATGGGTCTGGTGTTCAGATCCCCTGTACCCACATAACTGCCAGGAATACATGGTGCCCCACTGAATTTTAATGTTCCAGAAGCACCTGCACACACGCACACACACACACACACACAAACACACACAACAAACACGTAAACACAGATACATAAAGGTACACATACCACAGATACATTCTCACCGAGAAGGGTTGGGGGAGGGAGGAGATGAGGAGAAGTAGAGTGACAGAGACAGAAACAGAAGAAATACTTTAAAAGATACACAATACCTAGAAATCTGCAACTACCCATTCCAGGAAAGCCCTGCACCTGTGAGTGTTCTTTTCTATAGAAAACTCAACACTGAAAGCCTCCAGGAGGAAAATAACTGCCACAGGGCTACTGACTTTCTTCATCAACCACCAAGAACACAGGAGCTTCACTATCCAAGGCTACTCCCTTCATTAGGGCCTGCAGAACAACTCGAACAATTCACACCGACCCAATGTAGTGGCATGGCTTTTAATCCTAACACTTGGAAAACTAAAGCAGGGAGACTGACTTAAAGATCATTTAGAGTTGCACAGTGAGACCATGTCTCAAAGAACAACAACAAAGAAATCACATATGGATGTTAGTCTTCCCAGACAGTGGGGTCCCTTATCAGAAAATACTTCATTTGTCAGAAGGCATTGGGTTTTTCTGGGATTAACTGGACTCACGATATGTAATTCATTCCTAGGAAAACATGGTCTCTAGACATGCCCGCCAGCATGTGCAGTGTTTTCTTTCTGAGGCGCTCCCTGTGTTCAACCTTTTGTGCCCACCTAAAGTAAGTTGCCTGCTAAATAGCTCCTCCCTTGGAAATTTTGTCCCTCAAAACTGACTCAAGAGGCAGGCGATGCTGCAATCTTCAGTTTCCAAACTGCGTATGCTCAGACCTCATTTTTCTGCAAAATTAATTCAACCTCAAAAAGTCAAACCTTCGGGCATACAGACAGAATATTGTATACATAATAAATAAATAAATAAATATTTAAAAAAAAAAAAAGTCAAACACCAAGTGGGGGAGGGGAAGGTTACAAAAATTCTTATGTGTAAGATCTAATTTTAACTATTTAACTATTCTTAAAACTTCCTGAAGCTATTGGCATGGGCTCATTTCTCCTATGGTACTCTTTCAGGATGCTTTTTGTTCCAAGGGATAACCTCTCTCCTCAGCCTCACCAATTTCAAGTTTCTTTCTTGCAGACACAATCAGCTGTAATCCATGAGAGACCCCAAAAGGGGGTGGGCCTGGAAACACTCTAGGAATCGGTGCTCATTACGATGACTGTGAGCACTGATAAGTCTACATGTTCTCTAGGGAGATAGTTTCTGGGAAGGCTTACTATTCCAGTGGTACCTAACAACAGAAGTGGATGCACTTTAAAGACTTGGTACCCTCAATCAAACTGTCCCCTTTTGATCACAAGTAATTCATTACAATTAACAGTACCAGTGTTATACTTACATGAAGAAAAACGGCTAGCCAAGTGAAAAATAAGAAAGATGTGGAATTTGAAAAGGATGCTTACCCAGCTGGAAAAGACAGTTAAGTAACAGTGCATCCAAACTCAGCTACAGCACACTCAGGCAGGTCTCCCCTGGGGTGCTGATAACAATACCCACCTATCCATGGTTTTAATGCTAATAGTTCTTGGATGATATCTAAAATATTATAAAGGCACAAACATGATAGTTACTGTTATCAAGAAAATCTGATTTATTTCAGCAAAGGCCAATCACTGATTTTGTGATCCTATCCACACATTTTGAATGATCTTTGCATATTTATTTAGATATGTACAAGTACACACACCTATATCAATATATATATAAATGTAACTGGTTACATATTACCAAGTCTAAGTCACCAGCTGATATACTCAAATCTTAATTTCATTAAAGAACCAGGCTAAATCTATGGCCACCTAACTGCAAAGCTGAGGATGAAAAATAAATGCTTCTCTATAAAATGCTAGCAAAGAGTAGAGAACTATCAGAGAATGCCATCCTCCAGACATTCTGCTGACAGGCAGGACAGTGTGATGCTGACATCCATCCATCCATCCATCCATCCATCCATCCATCCAAGGCACTCGACCAGTGACCTTCATTATCTTATAACATCTCCACATAACTCGTCCACAGATGAGTGTGTCCTATTTCTGTCTCCTTTCTAGATGACTGCAGGTTTGCCAGCTCAGGCACAGTGGGTGCCTAGCATGAGCTATGAGGGAGGTATGGCTAGGACCTTACTGCCCCATCAACTATTTGTCCCATGGCAGAGAACAAAGTGCCCTTCAACTCCCTGGGGCAGGACCTCTGTTAGGCCTGACTCCTGAAGGAAAGCTTGGGCAGACTCCACGTCCGAGAAGACACAACCCTTCAGCCCCACTGCTGCCACAGAGGCTCCATACAGCTGTATGACTGAGTCTGTGTCCAGAGTGGATCTCTGCCTCCTTTCCCACATAGGATAGCACCTGAACCCTAGCACGGGGCTTTTTTCCTTTCTCTTTCCTTCTATTGTCTACTCTTTGAGAACTCTCTTCTTTAAGGGGATTCAGTTTCTAAGAAAATTAAGGCCTTATGGGGCATATCACTCCAGGCAGGATAGATTTTGTGGTCTTCCTAGCTCAAGGCCCCTCATCTCACTTAACAAATCTTTAAACCTAGCAAAATCAATGATGCCACTGAATGCATGGAACTCCTGCTCCTAGCCCTGCCCTCCACTATGCCAGCTCTCTGAGTAAACACTTCTGAACTCAGTCTTCCATGGTATTGATGGTAAAGGCCTCTCCGGTATCAGTCCCTGTTCTGAGAAACCTGCAAACATCACTCCTTCCCCATCTCTCCTTTAGGAGTTGAGCTTAAGCCCCCTGACTTCCTCCAGTGACCACATCTACAAACATTAACATTCAACTGACCAAAAAGGGAAACTGTACCTTCTGTAAGTTCCTTATCCAAAACCACAAAAATAGATGTTTTAAAGGCTGTGGGAATGCCACGCATGTCTTTGTGAGTAGAAAAGAGGTTATGAAATTCAATAAAACTTTTTTATTACATTTGAAGGAAGAATACCGTGTGTATGTCCATCCATCACACTGCTGGGCCACATAAAAATAGGCAGTTAGTGACCACAGCATCTTCCAAGGGACTATTAACCTGTGGTGTATCTAACCGAATATGGTTAGGGAGAAAGGTCATAAAATTATTCCACTGACTGTATTTTTAAAATCCCCAATTGATAGAAGATCAAAATCAAACAAAACAGTGTTTGTTGCTGCTTACTTCAAACATTCAACAAAGCATGTGGAAAAGTTTGTGATTTTGTTTACCTTAACTTAGACATTAGCTTCCTTGCTGTTTCTTTGATAGATGGGCTTTGAGATGGCATCAGTGGCGACAGCTGACGATCACCATTCACAGAGCTGACTTTGTGTCCAGAGTATGGATGTAAGTCTTCCATTTGCACCCCGGGCAAGCTGGTACTTATGATGTCAAGAAGAACCACATTAAATTACAGCCATTTCAGAACCAGTCACACACAGCACATGAAAAGTCAATACACAGCAAACCATGGCACAGGCATCAGTATCACGCTCAGAGTTCTCACCAAAGTCTAATACAGTAATAACAATTTATTTTCATACATTGCTTCAAAGTTTTAGGATAGCACCAATGAACAAAATTGGTGACAATTCATTAATTATTTAGAACTGTTTTTGAGACAGTGTCTTATGTAGCTCAGGCTGGCCTTGAACTCAAAATATAGCCCAAATAGTCTTGAACACCTGATCATCTTGACCACTTCCCAAGGATTACGGGTGTATACTACCACACCAACATCACCTTGGTCCGTGACAATTTATTCATAACTACAGTCATACACCATTCATCTCTTCTCTGCAGGAAGAGACATAAGTTCAATTTGACCCTTGCAACGATGCATGACAATAAAACACAAACCAGTCAAAGGTGGCAAGAGAAACAGCTAGTGAAGATCTGAGGGAAGAATGTTCTAGGGAACAGTAATGATCTTGATGTGTCTATCAGTCGGTGTGAGAATGCATAAAAGGCTGTGGTATGGCAGAAGACCAAAGCTTTGGCTATGTCTAAACAACAGCACAAGACACCAGAGGTGGTAGAGTGGGGGGGGGGGGGGTGAAGACAGACAGAGGTAAAATGGGTCCAGAGGGCAGAATAGAGAGTTTTACTTTCAAGTAGCAAGAAACATATGTTAATCCTTTCACAATAACATCTATAAATACCAACCTCAACTTTGGAGAGTTTTCTGTGATTAAGAAGGCCTTTAAAAACTGGGGAACAGTTTATATGGCGAGGACTGTGCCTCTACCGTCAACTATTCTTTGGCATTAATTATACTGTCTTACTTCAGCTGTCCATTGTAAGAGGAAGACGTTATATAAACTAATGCTTAATCATCTGGTAAAGAATAGGTGCACAATGCCCTAATGCTCACTAATTAAAACCTCCTTTATATGGAAGTTTTATTAAGGATTTTTAAAAAAAAAAAGCATTTTAAGATTGCTGGAAATTCTTTCTGGTGTTGGGAGTGAGGGTGAAATATTTTAGGCTAGAGCCCAGAAGAGCTTTTCGTCTATCCAATGTTCACAGGGATGGAGACATTGCTCAGTGGTATAGCACCTACCTAGCATCCATAAGCACTACGGGAAACAACTAACTACCAGGCCTTTCTCACATTATTATACCGAGGATTAAATAAAACGCATAACTAGTTTAGTTCAGTACTGAGTATTAAGTGCTCAGTAAGCAGTATCTAATAATCATTGTTATTAAGATCATCTTTCTCACTGGTACTGTCAGATTTGATCATTTTTTCCATTAAGGTTGCTTTAGTTGGATTATAGTTCTAACGTTCATTTTACACTAAGTCAGCAATATTTTGTTTGTTTGGTTGGCCCATTGAATGGTTTGGTTTGGGGTTTTTGTACGCGTTGAGATAAGGTTTCTCTGTGTAGCCCTGGCTGTCTTAGAACTGGCTCTTAGATCAGGCTGGCCTTAAATTCAAGAGATCTGCCTGCCTCTACCTCCCAGGTGTTAACCACCACCTAGCCTGGGTCAACGGCATCAAAAATGAACTTCAAGAACTTTAGAAGTCATACACACACACACACACACACACACAAACACTTTGTATTTCTGCATAAATTCTAGTTTCTGGGACTATCTTAAGTTTCAACTCACATCTTAACAAATATTTCTGTATTGAAGTCATTTATCAAAACGTGTGGAAACAGCACCAGTGGAAAAATGTATCATTTATTCAAATAAATAAAGTACCCACTACAGACAGGCACCTTCCTGACCACTGGAGACAGACACAGGGACGAAAAGGCAGGGTATATTTCTATAGAATTAGATTTATTTCTAGGGAAAAGAGAGGAAACAAACAAGCTGAAACAGAAATGGTAAGGGTATTTGTTTAGCAAATAACTTCGGATGCTGAAGGGACAGTCTTATCACCTGGTCGCTGCAGCAGAGGCAGTGGACACCCACATCTGCCTAGGAGAGTCAGGGAGAACCCAAGGAAGAGAACGCTGATCTGAGACCTAACTGTAACGGGAGGGCAGGGAAGATGGTACGCGGCGGAGTGGCAGAAGGCATGTAAGTATCCAAGTACAGGAAGTTGTGTGGCCGAAGAGAGAAGGACGTCTAAATTATAAGCAATGCAGAACCTCTGGGGAACAGAGTGGAGGCAAAAAAGAAGAGCCCAGTAAAGGCAACTTACACCACAGAGGCATTCCAAGGTCACCTTCAAACAGGGCTATGGAAGGCTTCTGCGTAGCCAGGCAGAGCTGGACATGCATACTGGAATAATGGCAAAAAAGCTCTACTTTAATGCAAAGGGCTACAATTCAAAGAGTGCAGGATGTGGGGTCAGCAAAACACCCGAATGCCCCAAGGAAGCTAAGGTGAATGCAGGAAGCCGAAGTGCCTGTTTTCTCGAAAAAAGCCTTTTACCCCACTACGTATATCAACAATATCTAGCTGATTTTCTAAATGGCAGAATTCTCTTGTTAAGAAAACTCCGGGATTATAATAATTATGGGTATATTTGGCAATAAGCTAATGAACTACCCAGAAAAATATTAAGCCTGTGATTTCACACTCTTACCCTGTATGTGTGTGCCTCTCACTTCTTGGTGGCAGTACAGTAATTTGAGTTGGTTATCTATTGTGAACAGGAAGTGAAGCCTGCTCCCTTCCATTATTCCCAGACCCTCACACAAGAAATGAAAAGCTTTGCAGAAAAGGAGAATTTCTTATCCTTTCAGCTCCCTATTGTAAAATTTGGTGTCATTCTTAATTGCCTTTGTTGCTATTATTTTCTTTCTTCTTCTCGTTACACATTGATAATTACTTTTTCAGGAGCATAATTACACGCGCTTGGAATCCGTATGATAATAGTATACACACCTTTCCCGGTGAGGCGCTGAAGGCTTTCTTTTCATTACCAGAGTATCATCACACAGCTCTTGTTTTTCTTCAAAAGAACATAGACAAAATTATTCTGAATGGCACACAATAAACTGTACCAAAAAAAAAGCTAGCTCATTAACTACCTGTGTAGAATTTGGGTACGTATTAAACATCCATTTCTAAATTATGCCCATTTAAAGGCAATTTATAACATATTCTTAAGGTAATTTATAATCAATTTAATGATGCATATATAAATGTATAGAATAATTTAAGAGTATCTGCAGCCTCTGTTCTGGTTTTTTTTTTTTTTTTTTTTTACTATGTTTGTTACAAGTGTCTGGATACGTGATACAGTCTGCTCAAACTCCATGCTTGCTCTACCTTCCTCTACGAGGACTCACCTTTTCCCCTCTCACATCCCACTCCCCCGATTCAGGTTCAGAGAGATCGGATGAGTCTGGACGAAACCTGACCCTCCAGGAGAGAGCTGGATGAAACCTGAGCCTCCAGGAGAGAGCTGACCTTTAAAGCCTGCAGTTTCTAGATCTGCTCTCTCTGCAATCCTCAGAATTATAGTTTCAGAGATATAAGTGGTTTGTCCGGAGTCCACAATTTCTGTATGGAACTGGAGCCCATGGACTGGTGGAGTGTGCTTCTAAAGGCTAGCTCTGTAATTCTTGGTTAGGACTAACCCCGATACTTTGTGTCGCAGAATTAACCACTGCCATCTACCAAAGGCCTTATAGAACAAGAGAGCAACAGGGGAAGGTTTACATGGTGGGAAATGCTGAGGACCCACGGAGTTTCCTCAAGGAAAACTTAAAGGAAAACAATGGACTGACAGGTTCTCTAAGTGCATGATTGGCAGCCCTCACGTTGCTTGCTGACTTGTATTCAAAGTAAAACAATTTAGCAACAGTCAACTGGTGCATAATTATAACCATTGGAAACATTTCACAATTCATTCTTGCCAAACCTAGAATGAGTATTTGAAATTAAATATGAATTTTAAAATCAAAATTATATTAGTAGCTTTTTCCATCACAAATTGGAACCATACTTGATGACAAAGTAATAGTTGGAAACATCTATGAAAACTGGCATTAAAATTAAAATGTTGCCTTTAAAATTAAGAGATTACTACCCCAAAAGTCCTGACTGTAGAATTAAAAAATCATGTTAATTAAGATGAAAAAGGAAAACTGTGGTTTCTTAGGGCCTCACTGAGGAGCTCAAAGGGAAAGTGGTGAATACACAGCTGACAGATCACCTAGGCAACAGAGGTCTGGGGGCAGGGAGGAGAGGTTACTGAGGAAAATGACCGCAAAATAAATGATGGTGTGGATGGGAAAAAAAGTGCTAGGAATAACAAAGTCGGGTATATAACTGAGGATCACCAAGGAGACTAAGAAGAACTCTGAAATTTAGCTGTGTGGTGGTGCACGCCTTGTGTTCCATCCTCAAGAGGCAAATAGAACTCTGCAAATCTGAGGCTAGCCTGGTTTCACAGCTCCAGACCAGCCAGGAGACTCTGTCTCACACAAGACAAAACAAAAACAAACGAAACAACAAAAAGCAAGAACAATGGTCATGCCAGTGAAAGTGTGTGTGTGCGTGTGTAGTTTAGCCCCAATGTGTAGTACTAGGGGCGCGGTGCTGTGTCCCCAGCACCCCGGCTGCCCGCTCGGCTAGCTTATGCCCGAAATAACAATACACAAACTGTATTCATTTAATTACTGCTTGGCCCTTTAGCCCTAGCCCTTACTGGCTAATTCTGTTATTCCGATCAACCCATCTCTAATAATCGGTGAGCACCGGTCTTACCAGGAAAGGTTCAGCATGTCTAACCTGGCGGCTTGCTTCATGGCGTGTGTCTGCCCAGGAGCGCAGCATGGTGTCTCTCTCTGGCGTCTGCTGCTGAGAGCAGAGCTTTCGAGTCTCTGACCTCACTTCCTCTTCCTCCCAGCGTCCTGTTCTGTTTACTCCTCCCACCTATCCTCTAACCAATTAAATGGGCCAGGGCAGTGCCTTTATTAGCCAATGACCTTCCTCCATCATTTCCCCTTTTTTCGGTTTAAACAAAAAAAAGGCTTTAACATAGCAAAAATACATATAACAAAACAGTTATAAAGTAAAAGTTACAATAATCTTTATCATAACTAAGGAAAACTATAACTATAACTAACTATTCTTAACTCCATCAAAGACTCCAGAAAGATATAATATTACCTAAGTAAACAAGAACTAAGAAACTTCAAACTCTAGAAATGACAAAGACATCTCGCTGCCTGGACAGTCACCCAAAGTTCTTTTGTACCGTTGGGGCATCCATCTTCAGCCTTCAGGCCCATGGTATCCAGCAGACATTTCCATAAAGCAGGAAAATTCAAAGTCACTTCAGTCACTATCTGTTGTGTCCTACAGAATGTCTCGCAGACTCTTTCATGAATCAGGAACCCCGAAAGATCATCTCACCTTAGGCAAGTTCAGTAGTCCCCTCTCTGCGGGTTCTCTGTGTCCAGTTTATGCAATAGTCCAGGCAAGAGCAGTTTCTTGCCCAAATGGCTATCAAACTCCATAAGGTGCCTCTTCGATGCCCATCATACTCTTGAAGTACATTGGTGCTGCCAGGAGCAGAGTGTCTCATTGTCATGAAAAGTCCTCAGTTATTAAAACATTAAATGTCCTATTCTGTAATCTTTGAAAGACATGAAGAATGTCTATCTAAAATATATCTCTATATATCTAGAAAATCTAACTAACATGACTACAAGCTTTACTATTATCGATGATCATCTATTAACAACCTATATTTCTTAATTATACAGTACATATTTAAATGAACTACACAATCACAATACCTTAATCAAAATCAGAAACACTTATACATATAACAAAATTGACCTTAAATCTCTGTCAATAAAGCAAAATCTATACTAATGTAAATTATTCATACCTATATCATATCCCCCTTTAAATGTAAAAGAACATTTATAAACATTTTTTGGGAATATGGGCGCAGTTATTTCTCTCCAAACTGCTTCCTGCTGAATGGGGGCGTCGTTAATTAGGTCTTTCATGGTATAACCTGTGTGCTAGTTTCATCTCAGTTGGCAGTTGAGCGAAGCAATTTTCTGAAGGCGTGCACAGGAACCATTCAGGAGGACGTGGTCCATCATACCAAATCGGAATAGAAGAAATGAACAGCGTCTCATCCTCTGTGAAAACAAAATAAGAAACTTCTTTCCAAAGTATCATATCCTTAGATCCAAATTCATAATATCTATGTTGGATTAGTTCAGCAGTATTTATAAATAAATATCTTTTAGTAGCTTTTGCTCTTTCCTCAGCATTCAAACAATTTAAAGAGAGCATAATAGCATACAGTATCAAAATTCTCTGTGTATTTTCCATTTTTGTGCAGCTGTGTTTTAACCTCTATTTTGTTTATTTTTACTTTTAACTCTTTGCTTTTTGAGACAGGTTCTCTGTATCTTTGATCTGAAGTAACTCTGTAGACCAGGCTGTCTTTGAACTCTCAGAGATCTGCCTGTCTCTGCCTCCCAGGCATTCGGGATTAAAGGTGTACACTGCTACACCTAGAACTCACAGAGATCTGTTTGTCTCTGCCTTCTAGGCACTGGGATTAAAGGCGTGTGTTACCACACACAACAACTCTCTTCCTTTTTTTTTGTTTTTTACTTTAAGAACTTCAACTTTTAGTCTGCATATATTTTTAACACACTTTAAACCATTTAAAAATTTTCTTTGTCTTTGAATCTCTCTTTACTGTATATCTCTCTTTTTCTGACCACATGAGTCTTTAATTTACCAAGCAATATCAGTAGGATTAAAGGCGTGGCTTTGCCAGCTAGATCCAGTCCATTCCTTAGCTTTCCAGCCTCATGGCTGAGGTACTGGCTGTAGCCATGTTTACTGCAACAACTGTATGGCATTTCAAGGTCCCTGCCAGCAAGTGAGCTACAACAGACAACACTCAAGTCCTCTCTCTCGGTAGCCGGCCCTCCTGCCTCAAACAGTCAGAGTTTGCCCTGGCAGGATGGCCCAGAAAGCCGGCATTTTTAAACGGTGCAGCTTTTTTCCTGCTACGGCTGAAAACCGAAAAGCATGCGTTCAGCTTTTCATCAACACCGTTTAAGTGTTTCGTGGCAGGACCTCTTAATGAGCTGCAGGCTTTGCAGCTAAAGCTGAGTCAGGAAGCCTCTCTTAGATGAGGCGCTTGCTTGCCTCTGGCAAGCAGAGTAGACCCGAGAAATTGCTGCTACCAAGAAACCAGGCACAATGCTTTCATTTTGTTCTAGAATTACTTCCCAAGCTGTCTCAGGCTTTATGTGAAAGCAGTTGTCCACGTGGGCGCCATATGTAGTACTAGGGGCGCGGTGCTGTGTCCCCAGCACCCCGGCTGCCCGCTCGGCTAGCTTATGCCCGAAATAACAATACACAAACTGTATTCATTTAATTACTGCTTGGCCCTTTAGCCCTAGCCCTTACTGGCTAATTCTGTTATTCCGATCAACCCATCTCTAATAATCGGTGAGCACCGGTCTTACCAGGAAAGGTTCAGCATGTCTAACCTGGCGGCTTGCTTCATGGCGTGTGTCTGCCCAGGAGCGCAGCATGGTGTCTCTCTCTGGCGTCTGCTGCTGAGAGCAGAGCTTTCGAGTCTCTGACCTCACTTCCTCTTCCTCCCAGCGTCCTGTTCTGTTTACTCCTCCCACCTATCCTCTAACCAATAAAATGGGCCAGGGCAGTGCCTTTATTAGCCAATGACCTTCCTCCATCACCAATGACGGACTATTAAAATAGAGAATGCATAACGACAGCCTTCCATGAGAGAAGCATTGTGATGATGACGACTGACTACTAAGAATTGCCTTGAACACTGTTAGATGACAACTTTCTGTTGTAAGTTCAAATCTCCGCTGAAATGTACTACATCCCATGCACAGAAAATAAGCAATGAAGAGACTTATTGAGATGTTTTTCGGGGTTCTCAGAGAAATCATAAATGCAGGACAGGGGTTAAAAGACTGAAACTGGGGAAAACATTAAAATTTTAAACTAGACTTTGAAAATTATAGACCTGATGTTAATCCTTGGTAAAATTCCAAAGAGAACTCAGCATGGCCTGGCTCAAGCCCGTGAGAGTTGAAGACAGCGTGTCAGTGTAGGGCATACTCTTCCCAGCCAGGTGACTCTCTGCTCTGTCAAAAGCAAATTCTCTTTCCACCCTTTCCCCTTCTTCTAGAACAACAGTTTATTTAAGTTCAAACTGCTGAAAACCTTCCGACCCCTGTCCGGGCAGTGAAAGAAGGTCACCCTGAAAAGAGCATCACCTCTCCAGCCATCTACTTCCGCCTACCTGTCTTTGCGAGAGGCACTTCTGCTCCTTCTTGTTTCAATGAGTCCTTGGCACTGGGTTTACTCCAAACCTGAAGAAAAAAAAAAGGTTTTCATTTTAAGCTGTGTGAAAACGATGGCCAGAGTCCAGCAATGGCTGGCAAAGCAGCAGCCCTGTCGGAGAAGGGAGGCCATGAGGTGCCAGCACAAAACTAGGCACGAGTTTCCAAGGTAGCGCCTGGTCCCTGGAGACAGCTACACTGGTGCGCCCTCCCAGAACAACTGTCTTTGCAATGGCATGCTCACTCCTGTTATATCCAGAGGGTGTTTTCTAAAAGTCCTACTTCCTTCCGAAATTGATCTTGTACATGGTGGTAACAGTGCCTCCAGCAAATGAGTCAAGCATTTGATTCACCAGGGAAAAATGGGAAGCCCGTGTAGTTTGGACAAGGGTCATCACACACAACGGAGGCAGAGTAGGACCTTAACATCATTGCAAGAAAAATGGGGGGAGGTTGACTGATGGTGGGGTGTGGCCCGTCTTTAATTCTAGCGCACCGCTAGTACACCGGAAGCAGAGGTAGGCATATCTCATACTCAAACATGTATGAGTTTGAGGTGGGGGGCGGGGGGAACACTCCTTATATTTATAAACCATGCCCCTCATCACACTGGGAATTCTCCAGGGTCCCTTTTACAGGGCTCAGTGGAATCAAACTCAGGTCTCACTTCCAGAAGACAGTTCCGTAGATGAGACGAGGGACATGGGGAAGAGATAAATGAGTATGTCCTTCGGAGGAGGGGCAACAGAACGATGTGTATATCTATCTTGTAAATCTTGTCAAGGTAGGAAAGTAACTAGTTAAAAGATTAATGACTTAAGAAAATGAGACAGCAGAGACAAAGCAAAGTTCCTCTCTGTCCCTGTTGAGATCATACTGTGACACGTGCTGTATGGCCTGCAGACAGCTTGTTCTCTGAAGCCTCTTCACAGTGAGTTTCCTTTGTGCGCCTCACCAACACACACCTGCTCACCAAACACCGTGAGGACAGGATGTCAAGCTGCCTCTTCCCCACTTCAGGCAAACAAAGGCAGATTTGCACGCAACACTTTGGAAGCCGCACTGTCTGGACGCAGGTTAAACAGGCACACCTGTAGCCTAGCAACTGCGGGACTACAGCTGTCCATCACTTCCCTTCTCTATCTCATTCAAACAGAGAGAAGAGCTTCTCAGGTAGGGGCAAACAGTTGTTTTCAGCTACTGTGGTCCATTTAAAATGCGTCTGAATCCTCTTGTGGAAATCTTCAAAGTGACTTTCAGATGTAAACCTTTCTATATTTCTGACATCATATAAAAGTAATGGTTTTCTCTGACGGATAAGGAAAAGCTACGTGATATCAAGTGTCTCTGGGTTTAGACTGGACAGCTTTTGAGCAGGTCACAAATAGCACAGTATATGGTCACAACAGTTAACCATGACTGTTAAGACACGCTTAGGAGAATTTTGCATGCCTTCAGTTACCAGTGCTTTATTCAAATGTGCGATGATCCTGTGAGTGTGTTTTGATTGACAAGACCTTGTCCAATGGAAGTATCCGAGCTGAGCAAAACTGGCATTATTCGCAGCAAAGAGTACTTCCTGTTATTGCTCCCAACACAGACCCAACACGTTTATGTTTTCATTCTGTTAGCATTATTTTAGGAGCACAGCAGTGTTAGGGTTGTCTCCATCAGACACCCATTTGCCCTCCGACACCCATTTTGTTTGTTTGTTTATTCATTTTGGTTTCTAGAGACAGTTTCTGCTCTGTATAGCTCAGGCTGGCCTTGAACTCAGAGATCTGCCTGCCTCTGCCTCCTGTATGCTGGAACTAAAGGCATATGCTGCCATGCCTGGCTTATTTTCCTTATTCTTAAGATTTAAAGTATAGAAAAGAGTTTTTAATAAATCTCTTGTCTACTTTTTCGAAGTAACATTCTAGACATCTGTATCGGTAAGAAATTACTATCCCTCACAATAAAGTTATGTTTAGAGGAGCTGAATTTGCTCGGGGTAAGACAAGACATTTCGTCTTTTTAACATTTTCATATCTTCTTTAATCTCTGGTCCTTGGTTTGCACTCTGAACTTTGGGAATATCTGCTAAGATTTTTACTTAAACTGTATGACCGACAGCACCTCCCCAAGAGTAAATGAGATTATTCTTCAGTCTTGGCATGAGTTTAAAAGTACCCGAGCTTGAATTATGTCAGCAACGACCAGGGTGGGACTTCCGAGTACTCCAAAGGATGAATGGATCAGCATAATTCTGTGGCCAGCCTTGCCCGGCTGGAATAAACTCATTCTAAATAGACACGCTCGTCCCCTTCATTGGCTGTGATACTACAGAATGACTGGACCCCAAGAAACCTCCCTGATTATACACATGAATAGGAAAACTACACACGAAAAGAAAAGTACCACAACAACTCTTTCTCAACATCCAAAATACCATAGGAAAAGGAGGGCGGAGGTAGTAGGGCCTGCCCCAACCCATTAAGAGAAACCTACTTCCCCCTTTCACAAGAATAGAATCTGATGTCCACTCTCGCCATCCCTCTTCAATATAGTGCTTGAAGTTCTAGCAATAGCAATAAGACAACATAATGGGATCAAGGGGATTCCAATTGGGAAGGAAGAAGTTAAACTTTCGTTATTTGCAGATGATATGATAGTGTACATAAGCGACCCCCAAAACTCCACCAAAGAACTTATACAGCTGATAAACAGATTTAGTAATGTGGCAGGATACAAGATCAACTCCAAAAACTCAGTCGCCCTCTTATACACAAAGGATATGGAAGCAGAGAGGGAAATCAGAGAAGCTTCACCATTCACGATAGCCACAAACAGCATTAAATATCTTGGGGTAAATCTAACCAAGGAAGTGAAAGATCTATTTGACAAGAACTTTAAGGCATTGAAGAAAGAAATTGAAGAGGATGCCAAAAAATGGATGGACCTCCCTTGCTCTTGGATTGGGAGGATCAACATAGTAAAAATGGCAATTCTACCTAAGGCAATTTATAGATTCAATGCAATCCCCATCAAGATCCCATCAAAATTCTTCACAGATGTTGAGAGGACAATAATCAACTTTATATGGAAAAACAAAAAACCCAGGATAGCCAAAACAATCCTATACAATAAAGGATCTTCTGGAGGCATTACCATCCCTGACTTCAAACTCTATTACAGAGCTACAGTAATGAAAACAGTGTGGTACTGGCATAAAAACAGAGAAGTCGACCAATGGAATCGTATAGAAGACCCGGATTTTATCCCACAAACCTATGAACACCTCATTTTCGATAAAGGAGCTAAAAGTATACAATGGAAGAAAGAAAGCATCTTCAACAAATGGTGCTGGCACAACTGGATGTCAACGGGTAGAAGAATGAAAATAGACCCATATCTCTCACCGTGCACAAAACTCAAGTCCAAATGGATTAAAGACCTCAATATCAGCCCGAACACACTGAACCTGATAGAAGAGAAAGTGGGAAATACCCTACAACAGATGGGCACAGGAGATCGCTTCCTATGTATAACCCCAGAAGCACAGACATTAAGGGCAACATTGAATAAATGGGACCTACTTAAACTGAGAAGCTTCTGTAAAGCAAAGGACATTGTCACTAAGACACAAAGGCAACCTACTGACTGGGAGAAGATCTTCACCAACCCCGCAACAGACAAAGGTCTGATCTCCAAAATATATAGAGAACTCAAGAAACTAGACTTTAAAATGCTAATTAACCCAATTAAAAAATGGGGCACTGAACTGAACAGAGAATTCTCAACAGAAGTTCAAATGGCTAAAAGACACTTAAGGTCGTGCTCAACTTCCTTAGCAATCAGGGAAATGCAAATCAAAACAACTTTGAGATATCATCTGACACCTGTCAGAATGGCTAAAGTCAAAAACACCAAGGATAACCTTTGCTGGAGAGGCTGTGGAGGAAGGGGTACCCTCATCCATTGCTGGTGGGAATGCAATCTTGAGCAACCACTGTGGAAGTCAGTGTTTCGGTTTCTCAGGAAATTCGGGATCAACTTACCCCTGGACCCAGCAATACCTCTCCTGGGAATATACCCAAGAGATGCTCTATCATATGACAAAAGCATTTGTTCAAATATGTTCATAGCAGTATTATTTGTAATAGCCAGAACCTGGAAAAAACTTAGATGTCCTTCAATGGAAGAATGGATGAAGAAAGTATGGAATATATACACGCTAGAGTACTACGCTGCGGCAAAAAACAATGACTTCTCGAATTTTGCATGCAAATGGATGGAAATAGAAAACACTATCCTGAGTGAGGTGTCCCGGACCCAAAAAGATGAACATGGGATGTACTCACTCATAATTGGTTTCTAGCCATAAATAAGGGCCACGGAGTCTACAATAGGTGAACCTAAAGAAGCTAAGTAAGAAGGTGAACCCAAGGAAAAACATATAGTTATCCTCTTGGCTAAGGGAAGTAGACCAAATTGCCGGGGAGAAAATGGGATCTTGGGGGTGGGGTGGGATGGGGGTAAGGGGTGATGGGGAGAGAAAAGGTAGAAGGGAAGGAGGGGGGACTTGGGGAAACAGGATGATTGGGATAAAGGAAAGGTGGATAGGGGAGCACGGAACCACATTCTTTGTTAAGGGAGCCACTTTAGGGTGGGCAAGAGACTTGACCCTAGAGGGGCTCCCTAGTGCCCAAGTGGGCAGCTGAGGATTGGGAACCTGAAATGACCCTATCCTAGAGCAATACTGACGAATATCTTGCATATCATCATAGAATCTTCATCTGGTGATGGATAGAGATAGAGACAGAGACCCACACTGGAGCACTGGACTGAGCTCCCAAGGTCCCAATGAGGAGCAGAAGGAGGGAGAACATGAGCAAAGAAGTTGGGACCACGAGGCGTGCACCCACCCACTGAGACAGTGGAGCTGATCTACTGGGAGCTCACCAAGGCCAGCTGGACTGTGACCGAAAAAGCATGGGATAAAACCGGACTCTCTGAACATGGCGAACAATGAGGGCTGATGAGACACC